TACTGTGATTTGCTGTTTGCAACACACGATAGAATGTGCACCACATTCAGACCGTGACATTACGAAGTTCCGTGTCGCTGATGCTGTCCGACGGGAACAACCAACACCCGCGACAAACGCCGACAAACCATCGATAACGGACGAGTTCTTGTCTGTCATTGAACTTGAAGCGCAGCACGCAGTCCCACCGAGGAACATCTCTCGGAGACAAACTTATCCTCCTCGCCCGCTTGTGCCCTTCTGTTGCGTCTCTTCCCACCGAGCAGGTTGCTTCCCACCCTTCTACTGAGCGGCGTCGCCGTCGGCGTAACCTCGCGGAGCATTATGGGACGGTGCCGAAACGTCACCGTGACTTCCACCGAAAAGTCACGTGACGTTTCGGCACCTCGCCGAAACGTCGCGTAAGGACGCGCGATTCGCGCGTGTAAGGAGAAGGGTAAGAGGAGAGGGACGCGATTTGAGCAGGCGCTACTTTTTGCGATGCGACCTAGTCGCGGAGGGGCTGAGCCAATCAACGGCGTTTAGAGCGAGAGTTTTCGAGAAGCGACTCGCCAACGAATGCGTTGGACTCGCTCATCGCGCACGCCAGTGTGACCATCTAATTTTTTTTGCGGTGCGATTTAGTCGCATCGCGCGAGTGCTTATATCGCCGGTGTGAATGCGCCTTTACAGGAAGTTTTAGAATAGCGCACGCTAAAGCTTTGCGTACGCAAAGAATAGCGTCATCACCACTGCGCATGCGCCGAACGTTAACCACGTTTTGCGCTTTGCGTGCGCCATTTCTCGGAAATTGCGTGCGTACGCAAGTGGTCTTTGCGCTCTTCCAAGGAGGATTCGTGATGAGAAGTTGGCTAAAACCAAAACAAGCACAGTTAAAAAAAAAAAAAAAAATGGCGACCCCCAGGATTATGGGTGCGGCCATTTTGGCGGCGTAGTGAGCACGATATCGGCGGCATCCTCGCGACTGCGATTTACATTACAGGACGACATTGCACATCGGTTTGGAAAACCCAGTAAGATGGGCAACGATCACCGGCAACTTGATGGTTGCGAAGAGCGAACATTTATCGGCGAAGGTCAGTCTTGCCGAGGCGACGCATGCGGACACGAACGGTCGACCGCTCGCGTCGCATTCTCACGTTTAAACAAATGCAAAATTGTTACTCCGGACCAATATCTTGTTTGTTCTCAAGTTACAGCATAAATAAATATCGTGACTGTATCTTGATGGCGTTGCAAGTGCGAGATGCTTGGGCTTTTCCGTTGCGGCGGAAAAACGCTATTCTAAAACTCTCTTGCGTCGCGTGCGCTAACGCAAGCGCTAAATTTAGCGCTAGCGTGCGCTAAAATCGCGTACGTTATTCTAAAACTCCCTATTAGGGAGCTTTACAATAGCGCACGCTAAAGCTTTGCGTACGCAAAGAATAGCGTCGTCTCCATTGCGCTTGCGCCGAACTCTAACCACGTTTCGCGCTTTGAGTGCGCTATTTTTCGGAAATTGCGTGCGTACGCAGTCTTTGCGTTCCCCCAAGGAGGATTTATGAAGGGAAGTAGACTAAAGCCAGGGTGTAAGATAGGCAGGTGGGGAAACGGCCCATAGAAGCCTACCGCAGCGCCGTGACCGGATTGTGTATTCGTCTGCTTGCGGGTGCCTCCGATTTGCGACAGATGGCGCTGCGGCGAGAGGAAAAAAAAAATCGGAATTGGATTTGCAGGGAACTTTATGGGAGAGCGCGCAAAATAAACCGAGAGGAACTGAATAACAGGCTGAAGTTGAGCTAGTTGGTACATAATTTAGGTAAATTATGTACCAACTATGTAAAATTATGTAAAAGTAAAATGTAACAATTATGTAAAAGACATACACAGCGGTGTGTACGTCTCTGTTTCTCCCTGTCTGTGTTTGTCCCTCTCGTTCTAGCTGACCATTTACCTAAACCGAGAGCACGACAGTCGTCCATTGAAAATCCATGAGAAACCAGCTCCGTCAGTTTAGCCGGCCGCCACCGGTCGCCCACCTGGAGTGAGAGTTCGCGGTGCTCCACATAAATGGCGCCACAGAAAAAAAAGAAAAAAAAAGAGAAAATTTAGGGGTACACAATCTGGTCGCTCATTTGGCTCTCGTTTCCCCACCTGTCTATCCTACACCCTGACTAAAGCCAAGACAAGCAGTTAAAAAATGGCGGCCCCAGGACCATGGCTGCGGCCGCTTTGGCAGCATCGTGAGGGCGACGTCGGCGGCATCCTCGCGACGACATTGCACTCGGATTGGAATACCCCAGTGATGGAAGTGCCATTTGACCTTTTGGCGCAGGCCTTGTAGCAGGCAAAATGTTGTTTTGGAGCAGGAAGTGGCCCTTTTGGAGCAGGGTCCGGCATATGTTGGTCTATTGAAAATGAAATAATGCTGCAGTGCTATATAAAGCCCACCTCTATTATTGGAACACAACGCCTGTCGCCTTTTTAAGACAGGATATATAAAATTCAATAAAGTAAACACAAACAAAACATTTTTGAAACAAAGTTTATCTGCTCGTTAGATAAGAAAAAAGTACAATTAAATATGTCACACCGAGTTCTGATGGTACAGGACATTTAGTTTTATCAGCCATATTGAGGTATCTGATATTCGCTTCAAAAATTCAGATTCATTTTCGATGTGCTGGCGAAGTCACGACCGGATCACGGCGAGTTAACCCGTTGAGTGCGCTCCTTTGCATGCACCGACGCGCTGCAGAGAAGCGACACCCGCGGAGCAGACACCGCAGTCGCGCGAGTCGCGCAGTGCTTTGTGCTCCGAAAAGGACGGTGAGGCTTTACCAGCCCTACATCCAGAGTTTGGTGCAACTCATTTATACTTCGTTTCAGCTTCGGCGCGAGCGCAGCCGAAGCTACAAGCGCGCGCATGGAGCCCGTAACGCCACACTGCACGAGCCCTCGCGCGAGTCAGGAATGCACAGAGCATTGGGCTCACGCTAGCTTTGACTTCGCTGGTAGCTAGCGCACGGGAACAGGGTGGGCCAACATTGAAAACATCCACAAGCTCGGCCTTTTTTTTTTTTTTTTTTTTTTTTTTTTTTTAATAGGTTGCTCAGAGGGATGGTTCATCGCTTAGCCTCTGCGGCTTTAGTCTCATGGTGAATTCCGCTCGCAGATCTTGAGCGCTCCAAAAGCGCTCCATTTGGAGCGCGCATATTCCACTCGCAGATCTGGCTCAAGTTGGTCATCTTCCGCTCGTAGATCTCTGGCAGCGCCCGCTCCACGGAGCGCCCCAAACTCCGCCGAACTTGCTCTGCGGGATTTCACAGATCTCTCCGGAAATTGACAGAGCGGCCCACGTGATTTCCGTCTAAATCGGCGGTGCGCATGCGCGGCGAGGTTGGAGAGATCGGCGGGCCGGTCGGTGGAGTTGGATCAGGAGTGCTATGTTGCGCTTTTTGCACTCCCAGGAGACTTGGAAGAGGGAAGTGACGTCAACGACACAGCAAATGCAGATTGGATGTTGACAGAAGAAAACGAAATCAACACCCAATCTGCGTTTGCTGTGTCGTTGACGTCACTTCCCTCTCCCTAGTCTCCTGGGAGTGCAAAAAGCGCAACATAGCCCCCCTAACGAGAAAAGAGTCAAAGTACAGGCTAGCTGGTGGAAGTCAACCATCTCGTCGTTTACCCTGAGACTGGGGGGTTTTTTTTGAAGAGCAGAAGAAATAGAAAAAACAGACAGGTTGAGACCTGTCTGTTTTTTCTATTTCTTCTGCTCTTCAAAAAAAAAACCCCCAGTCTCAGGGTAAACGACGAGATGATAGCCCCCCTGTTCGGGTGCGTCGGTTGTTTACTCTGGACTGTGACGGCTCGAACGCTTCTACCTCGCGTAGATCAGGGATAAAAAGCCGGGAATGTGGAGCGTGGCAAATCGTAAGCGCTGACATCTGTGATCACCGAGGAAGAACGAAAAAAAAGAACGACAGAAAAGCCGGAGGCAGACGCAAGGTTAGGCCTATTCATTCTGCAGCCAGTGATTGTTTACCTTTTTACACTGCATTCCATCGGCGTTTTCCCGTGAAATAAAGCAAGATGTGGTTAGGCAACGACCGCGCAAGTGATGGTTTGTTACCTCTGTGTTTATTAAAGTCGTACTAGCAATCTGAACTCCACCGCTGGCAATCGCTGTCCGTGCCCCGCCGCTTCGAGGCGGCCGAAAGGTATGTGACGGTGCCGAACGCGGACGTCTTCGCTATTTGTGACATGGGCGCCGTGGTACGTATAATTCCGCCCGGCCTGTGTCGCGTGTTACTTCTGCAGCTAAGCAGTGACAGTCGTCACTGGTCGTCGGAAAGATCAGCCGGCTGAGGCGTTGGTGGGCTGGTCAAGTTCGAGCAGCGGCCATTTTGAACGGCGGAAGGAGGAGGGGTGGGGAGGGGTGTGGGGGAGGTAGCTCCAAAAATGCAAGTTTATCTTCCCCTCGTCGATACGGAGCGGGTCCCACGGAGCGGAATTTTGCCTCCCTCGCGGATTTTGGAAAGCGCTCCAGATCTACGAGTGGAATTCACCATCAGATGTTGCTAAGGTTGTTCCTTTCCATGATGGTGATGATAATGCGCCCTCGCAGTTTCGGTTTGCGTAACAGTTGCGGCGCGGAAAATACCGCGGTACCGCCACGCGCTCTGATAAGACTTCAATTTTTATTTTTTATTGCTACATCTCATCTCGGCGCAGGCATGGCACAATTCTTCGGTAAAATAACAATTTGGCGCTTCATGTAGCAGGATTGCGTCCTTGGCGCAATTGGCGCAGCACTTTCATCACTGATTTACCCACTAAAGTTGGCAACAATCACTGGCAACTTGATGCTCGCGACGCGCGAACATTTCTCGGCTAACGTACGGTGTGCGAAGGTCAGTACACGAGACACCTCTTGCCGAGACGACGCAAGCGGACACGACCGCTCCCGTCGCATTCTCATGCTTAAACAAGTCTGAAATGTTACTCTGGACCAAAAATTTTTTTTTTTTTTTCATGTTACAGCCTTTCGTGTGTAAAATAAAAATGGTGACTATCCGAGATGCTTGACGTTATTCTGGAACTCTCTTGCGTAGCGTGCGCTGAAATTGCGTACGTTATTCTAAAACTCCCTATTTTCTTCCGGTTTTTATTTTACGGTCGATTTAAAGAGCCTGCTGTCTCCTTGAATCACGCTGTAGAACTAAGTCTTTAGCTGTCATCACCACCACAGGGGTGTCACGTGAAATATCGCTACAGTATCGCGTCCCTGGTCGGCTGCTGCCGCGGCTGCCGCTTCAAACGTCTCCGAGTGGTTCGAATTCTCGTCCGTTTCGAGCCGGACCCCACCTCAGCAATTCGTGTCGACGTAGAGAAAGCTAGGGAACAACCCGCCAGCAACCACAAAATTGCTGCAAAAGTTTCCCCGTCCGAAACGAGCCTAAAACTACGAAGGCTCGGCGGGCGTGAAGTAACCTCGATGAAAAGTCGACGTTCGCTAAAACGTCGTTCGCCCAACCCAGTGCCACCCGAAAAGAAATAACGGGCCGCGGGCCCACATCGGCTTGTGCAGTACCTTGAGACGAATTCGGAACCCACGTTTTTTTTTTCTATGCAAAGCGTAGTTTTTTAGTTCCTTGTTTACGAGGCAGAAAAATATCCATACACTACGCAACGAAACGCCAAATGCACTAAGGCCCGCTTCAGACGGAGCAATTTCAGCCAGCAATTTGACGTTGCAACACCCGGCCGCCCGCGTTCGCACGCAGCAACCGAATTGCTCCGACGTGCCATCATCATTAAATTTGATTCTTCTTTCAATATTTAGACGCCCAGCTACGCGCTAAAAACGCATTCTTTTATCTTTGAACGGCTTTGAGAATACTAACTCATTTCTCTGAAACTGTTTATTTCCGAAAACAATTCATTCCAAACCAGAACTAAGTCTTTAGCTGTCATCACCACCACCACAGGGGTGTCACGTGAAAATATCGCGTCTCTGATTGGCTGCAGCCGCTTAAACCGTCCTCGAATTGGTCGGAGTTGCTCGCTTGGTCGAGCCGGACCCGATCTCAGCCACGACCAACTCTTCTCAGCAATTCGCGTGGATCTAGGGAAAGCTAGGGAACAACCCGCCAGCAACCTCAAAATTGCCGGAAAAGTTGCCCAGCCGGAAGCGGGCCTAACGTTGAAATGCACGCCATGTGTGTTGCCAGACTTTCATGGCCGTCGGGTTGCCAGACTTTTGCGGACAGATTTGATAGCAGCAGTACCGTTGCGTTTGTTGTAATTAGAAAAGTATCGAATTATAGTTTGTAAAACTGCCTTTAAATTACGTATAAAACATATTATATTAATATGATGTTGGCAAATAGTTGCCAGACTTTGGTGCTGCAAGGCCCAATTGACAAGGTTGCCAGAGTTTTGTGTATCATTTTTTTTTTGTTTAGCGAGTTTTGCGCTTCCACACTAAACATCAGAGACAAAAAAAAAAAAAAAAAAGAAGGTTAAACATACTAGTATGACGTCCTAAATTACTACAAAATTATCTTTGAAAATATGTTTCATTGCCAGACTTCTGCGACTGCTCCTGCCGACGTCTCTACAATGTTACCAGACTTTCGCGAGTTGCAAAGGACTACATTATAACGTTTAAAAACAAAAATAAAAAAAATGGCTTATTTGTACCTTTTTTTTTTATATGTAAACAAATCGATTTTATTGCTTCATAATTTTTGCAACTGTACTCACGTGTTGACACCCATGCCTGAAGCAGCAGACTTACCGTTACAGGAAACCTGGCACACTCACCAGCCTGAAATAAATGGATTCCGATGATAATGGTAAGTCCAGAATATTAAAAATACAAGTCTATTGCTTATAATCCGACTTCCTTTATCCCATCGGTATGTGCGAGCTAGAATTGCTACCATAGTAGAACTATGACGTCGATGTTAGCATTCTGAGTAACTAACCAGATATAAATAACCCACCAGTGCCATGATTCCCTGAAGTTTATACCACAGGTTTTTGGGGAAAGGGTGCTTGGATCATTCTCAGATAAGCTCCTCTTTAAAAGATATGGGTTGGACAAATGTTAACTCATCTGCCACATCCCTTCAAAGCACTGCATATGTAGCACTTTGAAGCAAACTACATGGAAGCACCATGTGAAACAATGGAATGTTGCATGCAAACATTGCATAGGATTCAACTGCAAAAGACCTGCATCGGACATAACGTGGAAAAGAGGAAGGGGACAATGAGTAGCTGCACAGCCTAAAATTGGAAGATGTAAATCAGCACGGCGGCGTTGCGTTCGTGTATCACTACTGCATGGTGCACGTTAAAGACCCCAGGCTAGCGTTTGTACTACACTGGCTAAATTGCTCATCTACAGCCGTCCTGTTGTTTGTTGTCTTCACTCCGTTGTCGTCATTTGAGCGGTTTTCATTATGTATTACGTTTACCAACTCGCACTATTCGCTACCTTACAGAAGACAACTTATATAGGTCACGAGTAACAACGGTGCCAGTGTGCAGCTCTAAAGGTCATGGGTAGGTCACCGTAGAAAGGCACTATCACAAAAAGGCACCATGTGGAAACACCAGCACGAACGGCTAGAAAACGTGCATGTCCGTGGAAGAAAGAAGCCTCGATATCCTACTTACTGTTTTATCCTGTTTTCAAAGGTTAACAAACGCTTCAAAGAGAATTTAAGGCACCGCGTTGTTGCGCTTGCACTTCCAAATTTTCAGCATTTACAGTTTTCATTTTTAGGTTTTAGGCAGATATTAAATTTTCGAACATTTTCCTGTTCTTCAAGTTCATAAAGTTTTCAGTTAGGCTTTCGTTGCCACAGCCACAGAAAACACTCGCCCGCAATTATTAATTTGGGAGCAATATACCCAATAAGCTTAACACATATTACAAAAAAGGACATTTTACTTTTTACAAAACTGACGAATTTTAATGATAATAAATTGATATATGTTGCGCATGATCCAACAGCCTCCCTATGAAAAGAAAAAGAAATCAATGAGCTTTTCTCCGCATCCGCCTGTTTTGCGGTCAGCTTTTCTCCGGTGAGCTTATCTCCATTGAGCTTTTTCCCGGGATTCGCCTGCTCAGTCTAGACATTCCTAGCATGTGCAGCTTACCCACAAAAGTTGCTGAATACACTGGCACCAAATGTAAGGTCATCAAGAACATGAAAGGAATCATCATTCAAACAGCCTGAAATAGGCCATGGTTTACATACATTGCTTGATTACAAACAAGAACAAAAATAAACTGAAAACTGATATATGTTCCATCCATGTTCCTGTAAAATGGCTGAGAAGTGGTTTGTACAATAATGTCCCAGAGTGATCTCCAAGTGTCAGCAAATTCTCCCAAATCCGCAGCAGCTAGAGGCCAGCTCAAAAAGCCTCGAGGCATCGGAATGCAGGAGCAGATCAAAATATTCACGACGCAGCTGCCACTCTTAACACAAATCCAGGGAACCAGGTTCGAAAACACATACCCAAAACTGACAATAGTAATTTTCTGATCAATACATCCATGCAGTCGCCGATATCCTATGGGAATTCTAGTTTTTCTATATATCAATAAGAGCTCTTACCTCTCTCGCATGAAAATACATCATTCGCAACTTCAATATTGCTACAGTTTGGCAAAATATGGGTGACAGCCACAGCAGCACACTGCATTTCCCCGTCGACCAGCCATGTGTCCAGTTTTGACAGATGCCAGCGTGCACCGCTATTCGCAACTCCAACCAACTATAGGGGGCACGCTGGTCAGGCAAAATGGCGGACGAAAGGAGGTTGTTTTTGTTGTTCAGCACGCCGGCCACCATAAATTTCTTGCACTGCAGCGTAAAATCGGAGTTACATATGAAAGCAAAGTGATACTTCGACGGTAGAAACCTTCTAGTCAGTGCACAGGAATGGCACAACGGAAGCATGAAAATAATTACTGGAAAATGATGTCTCTTTCTACGCTGCCTACAAGAACCAAGCAGCGATAGCAGACGACAGAGGCAAAACGAGCTCCTCTCCTGAGCTTCTCAGCGTTGCCGCTACGCGGGGTCGATTTCACTGCAGTCGCAAATAGGCCATGAAAGTTGGCTAGATTACAATTGAAGTACTCACAGAATACCCAGGCCACAGGGCTTTTCTGCAGTCCCAAGCAGTAATCTGAAAGAGATGCCCACTCTCACTGTTAGAGGAATCTATCGAGGCACAGGCAGCAATGCAGTCCAGCCCGGTCACAGTGCACCGGATCCTGGCCCCGGACAAAATGCTCCCAAGCACAGACCCAAACAAAATGATATCAACTGAATTTTGAAGCCTTGTTTCCAGCTTTTCATGGGTGAATGGGCTGCATGTACTTCAGCAAAATATAACATGCAGGAGAGAATTTTTTTTTTTTTTTTCAAAATATTTGAGTTACTAAGTTTTACCAACTTTAAAGTTCATTTCTTCAACTAAAAAAAAAAAAAAAAAAAAAAAACGAACAGTGGTTGGGCCAACCAGAATATGTATGCAAATATATGTGCATGGTGAATGTCTTTAATTCTGGATGTCTACTTGCAGCTGCATTGTGCTAATAGGCCTGTATTGCAAAATGTAAAGTGCCCTACCCAGCACCTTAAAAAATTCTGGGAATTGGCTGTACAGAATCTGCAGTACCAGACAATTCTGGGAAGTGGCAGTAGGCCCATTCAATTTACCTGCACCTTCTGCAGGTAAATTGAACGATGCAGAAAAGTGTAGGGCAGTGTGCTTCCGGCATGTGTATCGATATACGACCAGAAGGAACCGCCCTGCACTTTTCTGCACCGGTGCAGGAGGTGCAGGTAAATCAAACGAGCTTAGTGTAGAATCGCCCATATCAGACGCCAGAGGCAACCATGGGGGCAACGCAGGTGTGCAACTGTGCTTCCCCCCTTCCTCTCTCGCTCTCTTCAGCGTCATGTGGTAAATGCTCCGAGAGCAAAGAGCATCGTACAGGACGTTCCCATAATTCAGTGCACTCTTCGCACGAGGCCTTTTGCCACTGGTCTGTTTAGAACTTCAGAAAATATGAAACCGTCGTTTTGCAAGGTCCCACTACTCCATCGCACATATGTACTTGTTTTCGCCTCAAGAGCCCTCGTAAAATTATCTTTGGCTTCTCACAGAATGCTTCCAATTCCTCCATTAATGCGTTGAAATATGACTTGTATGTGGATTTACAATGTCATTTGTTTTGTGAAACTTTTCAAAGCAGCATCATATTGTTTCTCCGACACCTGGATTTTGTAAGAGCTACCTCACGCTGCGTGTGAACTGTGTGCAAAACATATCATTTTCTTTTCTTGAGATGACGGGCATCGCAACTATTGCTAGATTTTAGCTACCTCAGAGCCACGGAGCTGGCCAAGAAAGGCAATGGCAATGTGATGGACAGGACAAGAGGGCTCAGCACCAGTTCTTTCTTAAGTATACATAAAAATGCTTGATTAGATTAATATACACTGATCGTGCAGCAACTTATTGGTGTCGTAGACCAGCATCCAGAGCATCGAAAAATTCACCCAGAGATTGATAATGTGGATGCTTGGGCTAGTTGGTACTTCATGAATGGATGGAACAGCGCGGATACAGTCACACTTACAGGTGCACAAGAAGGAAACAGACTCGCAACGCTGACTAACAACTGTCATATTTCTTTCTCAAATTGTCAACTTCTCCTTCGCCACAAATTAGAACATTTTAAATTTTTACACACCAGAAACCAAATAGCCAATAAACATTAATAAATAACTTATAAATAAATGACAACTAAAATCATTTTAAAAATGTAATTAAAAATAAATTTAAAAAAATAAAAAAATGAATAAAAGTAGAAATAATAAAAATTAAACGAAAAATTTCCCATCACTATTGATGGCAAAGCACCAATAGTGAGGGGGAATTTTTTTGTTTAATTTCTATTTTTAATACTTTTACTTTTTTTTAATATAACTTTTAAATATTATTTTTTTAGTTAACATTTATTTAGTTATTTATTAATGTTTATTGGCTATTTGGTTTCTGGTATGTATTTTAAATGTTCTCATTAACGGCAAAGGAGAAGTTTGCGATTTGAGGAAGAAATATGACCGTTGTTAGTCAGCGTTGTGAGCCGGTTTCCTTCTTGTGTGCCTGTGAGTGTGACTGTATATCCGCGCTGTTCCATCCAAACCCAGAGATAGTTTTGTCCAAGTTTGCATTTGGGACAATTTTGTTATACACCCACTTCGGAAGTGGTGGTTCAGGTACTTTAAGTTTCACTAACCTTCAAGCAGCCAAGGAGGTGCACTTCCTCCACCACCTTGACTGGATGGCCTTCCTTGGACTTGTCCAACAAGTCGTCATGAAAACACCCGTTGCACGGCATGGATCTTGAGCAGTTTTTCACTCGCCTCTTGAATGCACTTCTGCACTGGCCGGTTTAGTGCAAAATTTAAAAAATGTGGCTGTGCACTATTCCACTGTAGCAGTGCAATAATCTTGGCAATTGTTTGCAATTACATTGTGGGGTGATGGTCCTGCCTGGAAAGTTGTGCCCATTATTTTTGTGCATACAAAGAAGTATGTTCCTTTAGACATCCAATCCTATTCTATGGAGCAAACCTATATTTTGCCAAGGAAGTTTAATTTTTCTATCTGTGATTCTTCAGTCTTGGACGTTTCCTTTGTCTTTCTTTCAGATATTAAGGCCATTTTCGAGTGCAGCTCGGCGACACGGGCATTTTCCTGCAACGAGAGAAAACGGAGGTACATACAACATATTTCATGCCACAATTTCATGATTGTGTGCAGAGGTATGACGGCACTGTAATTTTGAAAGCTAGCTAAAGCATGCATACTGAAATGGGAAATGGATTGGTGGCCATTTTTAAAGAGCACTTTTTTTTTTCACGCTATAAATGTGGAGATTTTTATCAATTACCTTCATTATAATAAAAGTGCCGCACAAACAACCCCTTTAACAGGCTACAGTGTGAAACAACCAGATTCCTGAGATCAAAATTCATAAATTACTGTAAAAACGAAAACGTAATTCTCACCCATTTTTACAATTGCAGTCACCCCAAAAAAAAGAATGCTGTCAGACTATGTTACAGCCTTCTATTACAGCAGGGGTGCCGATCTGACAGATTTCAATGAAAATAACCTAGCATTACAACACTGTTATACTGTTCTTCATCATGGTCGTCTTGGTCCAGAAGCTTCAGAGCCTGTAAAAAAAATATAATGCAGTGTAATTATTGAAAGCTTTATACCTTGAACTAGAGAAGTTCTTTTTGTTTAAGACTATATGATGGAACTAAATCAGTTACTGAAAGTGCCCTAAAATAAATACATTTACAGGATATATCAGGAAATTGATGAAGACAACTCTTAACATGTGATTACTGTGAACCATATTTCACTAGAGCAATATTAGTCATATGCACGTGAACTTCCAATGGCATCTCAGCGAAGCTTAGTTTGGTTTACTTTTAAACGTATATTGGAATAGAAAGGTTATGTCCCATTGACCATCCAAGAAGTTACAAGAAAAAAACCTCTATGCTAAACTTGCACGCAAGCTATTGTTTGCAGAAACAAAGTTGCACATATTTCTACCTTTGCCAGGTATTCCAGCTTTGTTATCCCTTGTCTCCCATCTTTAAATTACTACCACAACCTGCTTCCTTCCCAAGTTGGCTCCAAAGGGTGCAATTGGATGCACCAGTAAAAACAAACGCGCCCCAAAAATACACTATTTGATAGAACCACTGCAGCAACAGACACGGATCGACTTTTATCTTGCGCACTTCATGCAACACCTGGACAGCCTGCTCTCTTCCCTTAAATACTCCCATTTTCTGCAGAACGTTACTTCAGATGTTTATGTTTGTGTACACTCAAGCAATGCTGCAATGGCTTCTCGTGCCGTAGTCTGCTGCCTCTCATGGCAGTGGACAGAAACGGACAGCTATCCAGCGGTGTGCCGTGACCGCTGGTCTTGGGAAGGGGCTTGCCAGGCAGGAAACCTTGTTCCTTCGACCGCCCTGCCGGCCTGCAGAATGAAATGAGTAAAATTAAATTTGGGGGTGCTCGAAATGAAACAACTCTTCTACCGCCCTCCTTTGATGCACCATCGTCGTATCACGGCATTTTACCAGAGGACTTTCTCTCCTTGTCGTGTTGCACATTTTTCACAGCACGCACTGAAGGCACTCACAAGAGGCGTGTCCTACACTTTTGCAAACTTGGAAGCAGGTGGTTCTTCAGCTTTCTTCTGTGTTGCCACTCAAGCACGCACAGATCACGGGAACCAAGCACAGCACAGACTGCAGAGCCAACATCTTGCCCATTCACTTCGAAGCACAGGATCCACTTTTGCGGACACCCCCGCACACTCACACCCACTTATCCACTAGTGACGACCATTGCACACCACTTGGAGCACCATTTGCACAACACAGCACAGATCAACAACACCGACTCTCACATATATTAGGCAGCACATCAGACCTCGTCGAAAACCACTCCAATCTAGATCACTACACCACACTTTGCTCTGTGATGCTTCCCTTTGTGCCACTTGCCTAAGTGGCAGATGACTCCACAGCACTTCACTGCAAGACACTTCACTTATCTCCCTTCACAGCACTTCACTGCAAGGCACTTCACTTATCTCCCTCCACAGCACTTCACTACAAGGCACTTCACTTATCTCCTACACAGCACTTCACTGTGACACATTAATGCACAGCACGACAGCTTGGTAGAGAGCACTTCACTGCAGAACACATCACTGCACAATGAACAACGGCACATCACTTCACTGCACAACACATCCCGTGATGCTTTGTGGCATGGCACAATTGCATTTTGCTGGGAGAACTGCAGTTCAGTGGCACCTTCGCTTTGAATGGGGTTTACTCCCATATGCTCTGGATAAGAGCCAGCATCAAGTCCTTGAAGTGTCATTGTGCAAGTTGCTTCTTAGTCCTTTAAAAACTGCTTTGCTGTGCAGACACACCTGAACTCAGCAACAGGTCCCGAATCTTAGTTTGCAGTCTGTTTACTTCAATATTTTATGCTCAACGAATACCTTCTTGCTTGGATGTCTGGAAGTATCAGTCCTGCTGCTTGCATTTGCTGCTTTCAGAGTTAAGCTTGTTATTTTGGATAGCATTCCTATTCAGAGGTTAGTACAGCTGGGTGACTTCATTCTCTTTAGCTACTGATGTTTTCAACTCTGGAAGGTCTGGACCATGGCACTGCAATTTAATAGCTGATGACCAGTCTTTCCTTGCTTGACAGCCATTCAGTCCAGCTTCTTACACATGAGCTGCTGCATATCTAGCTGGCAAACTTTGATAAGCTGCAGCCTCCATTTTTCCACCGATGCACCTGAAAGATTCTACATCTTCTCTCGACATCATCATAAATACTAAAGATCCAGTTAAGAGTTGCATAAATTGCTGGAGGGCAATAAAATACAGATGGCACCATACCTGTTGGGGGGTCTTTCAGCCACCAACCAGGGAAGCTCACCTTTGGCAGCAGCCATACCCTGCATGAATGACCTCCACTCTGTGAAGCCAAAATGTTTGCAACCACTGCGAAGTGGGTTTCAAAACACTTGCCTTGCTTGCAAACTTACTGTTACTTGTGATGAAACAATCACTGCTCGATGAAGAAGCTTGATGAACCGCCCTTATTTTTACGTTCCACCTGTTGAAAAATGTCCCATTTAGTGACCAAGCATCCACACAACTTAATCAAAAGAAACTTTGGGAGAGAATTGAGAGCAGAAAGGAAAGAATGTATCTTATGATATTTTAAAGTGGATCTCGACGACTGCAGACAGGAGAGGCGTTGTGATCCTTTCTTGGCTCCCTGGAGGCCCAATGCTGCCGGCTTGTTCATTTCTTAGGTGGGGATGACGTCTCTTCATCTCCATGCTGCAGACTGAACTGCCAGCTGGCACTTCACTCCGATGAGTGAGCCTGGCTGAGATTGACACTGGACGCACTTCAGGCTGAACCACTGACGAGGCTTTCACTTCGAACTTCACCATGCGCTTCACAAACTTGTGTGCACACACACGGCACAGGCACTGAACTCGCACAGCGGGGCACTATCTGCACAGCCACTTCACAAAAGGATCATGGATGAAACCAAACCACAACCACTCACGAGAGTCTATAAACAGCTAGAAGGTGCCGACGACCTTGATTATAGATGCAGCATCTGAAGAATCAACCTTGCACCCTTCTCTGCTCTGCTGCTTCGAGGTGGGCATACTGGACACGGCACGCACTTCACACACGTCACTTGCTATGCATGGAAATTTTGAATGGCTTTACACACCCCCCTTCACCACACAGCCCCACATTGCACAGGCACAATTCACTTCTTGTATTCTCTTAGGGTATTCCAGGATGGCACAATATGCACGCAGCACATCCATGGGCTTCACTCACAAGTTGCCTCTGTAGGCAGGCACTATTAAGGCTGGTTCACACATTTGCATGAACCACGTTGCGCTGCATTGCGTCATGTAGCACACCACCTCACCATTGGCTCGTCGTATGTGTCGCCATAGCAACAGCTCGGCGCAAGCTGTCTGAACGAGGTGCAAGTGGTTGCGGTCGCACTTGAACACAACTGTGTAAACAAGCCTTTAGGCCAACATGCACTTTTTTTTCTTCTGGCTGATGGCAACACTTCATGTAATGATGATGCTCCTATGATGCAGATCACCAAGAAACGAGGTAATTTTTATATGAACATATATGCGCGCGCACACACACACACACACACACATACACGGAGGCTTGCTGCAGGTGTGGACTAGTGGTGCCCAGATATGGCGCATCTTGCTTGGGGAGGCACTCTCACTCACAGATTGTAGAAATACCCTGGAAGCAATACAACTCAGATCTGGGAAGGAGAGGTGTAGACTTCGTTGTAACCTTGGGAGGCAAGCTTTGAAGCCACTGATACACCACACTGTGAAACCTTATGAGCGTCGCATCACATAGCACAACAAACACATCAGATGCTTGAAAGGGTGCTGTTGGAATACATACCACTAGAGAAAGCACTGAAGACTCTCTCAGTGGAAAGACACACCAAACTGCACTGCACTGCAAGCACTCCACGAGGGTGAGTTGCTACTAACAGCAAGCAATAACACTCATGTCCTGCAGCTAGCCACCAAAATGACCAATATCACAGCCATTTTTACTATAACTGCACCACACTTTAAAAGGCCCCCTTGAAAAAGGGGGAAAAAAAAAAATCACAGTTGGGAACACGGCACCATCCCACAGCACTTCCTGCACAGCCCACAACACTGTGATGCACACGACACATCTGGAGCACGACCAGCTGCAGTAGACGGGTGGACTGAGGAAAGGCATCGCTTTCATTTACACTTCTGCAAATGCTGCACTGCTTTCAAGTGATGATTTTGCTCCCTTGCATTGCACGACATGCTTCCTGCAAGTCGTATTGAGGATCCATCTGCACAGGGAACATTGTTTGCTTGCATGCTTTACCGTGCCAACAAATTTTTATTAACAAGGTGCACTGCAGAGACAAGTTACTGCAGGGACCTTAAAAAAAGAAATGTAATGCCATGGGCACAGCAAGCTGCAGAAAGACTGAAATATTGCTAGCCGCATCTACTCCATACTTTATGGTTGCCTCAAAAACGGCAGGGCACCAGACAAAATCAAGAAGGGAAGTTGTGTTTTAACTCATACAGTTGAAATTGCCGCCATTGTGCCACCTATTCAACATCTGTTATTGGATTATAGCATCTCCGATTGAAGGACATAAAACAAAAGCACCATCTATTAAAACAAGAAAAACTGCACAGGTGAACATGAGGGTTGCATTACAGTCAATAATAAGAATAAGAATAAAGTAATAAAACAGTCCACGGTTTAGCGTTCCACGTTTCGCTTAGGGGCAACATTCGACAAACGTACCCACTTTTTTTTTTTTTTTTTTAAGGATTATAACGATTTGTACTTTTTTTTTTTTTTTTTTAAGTCACTCGCGTTGTCTTGAAGTTTCGTAGAAGGGCTGCAATAGGTTCAGGAATCGCAGATAAGATAAGCGCACCAAGCGAAAGGCCTGCTGAATGGGTGAGGTTGCCGTTGCTACATCAACCACGTTTGGGTTGGGGCAGTTTTGGGTCAGCTAGCAGTTAGGATTAGGAGGAAAGAAAGGGGGGGGGGGGGGGGGGGGGGGGAGGGCATCCGAACCCTTTCTTTCTTTTCTTTATACTCCTTCAGCGCACTTTGCGCTGACTAAAAGATTGTGGTCTGACGCTGTGGAAGAGTGCCCTCCAAGATTTTCCATACCCTACTCTCACCTAAAAAAAAGGGAGGAAAAAAAAAAAAAAGAATCGACTTGCGATATTGCGCGCCCACCGCAGCCCCACGTGCGGAGCTAACTCAGTAATAAACACTGCAAGTAGCGGCGAGGCCGTCAGGTCTACATATATTATAAGAAAATTAATTGCAAGCAATAAAAAGTAGCTAACCTTAACATCAATCCTGACGAATGTCTATGACACGTCGGACTCGTCATGATTTTGCACTTACCGCGCTTGATTTTTTTGCTGGCGGCCTTTCGTCGCGCGGGTCGATGTTCAAGCCCTCCAGTTGACGTCAGGAGTCATGAAACTTCCGCGAAGCTTCGTGGCAGGAGTCAACTGTGCATTGAAGAAAGGTCATATTCTCAACTTCTCAACGTTGAGTCGTTCCACGGTTCGAGATTTTGCATCCCAACCATCTGCAGAGTTCATCAGTAGGAGAGAAGAAAAAAAAAGAAAAAGAAACAAAACGTCCGTCAGGCTGTTGACGTTACGTAAAAAAAGCAATTTCTACCGGCAATCAAGTAGGAGCAGTTCGATGAGTGAGCTTGGGTGCGTTGGCGCCTTAATCCATGGACAAACGACCATGCCTAGCTGGCTTCCCGGTACCACAGCACCGACGACGCAGACCCATTCGCGGAACCGCCATCTTGTTTTTCTTTCCTGGCCTCACCTCTGGTCCGAACCGCCGCAGCGGCGAGGTAAAAGCTCCTCCAAAGGTTGAACATGGCACGCCACGTTGAATAAGGCCGTACGAAAGTGTTCCTTTAGCAACCGATGACATGTCAGGAGATCCTCATGTGGAACTGACGGAAACACCAACCGGTCACGACGACAGCACTTCTAATATGGAGGCTTGTGGAACCGCCAACTGAGCCTTCCTCGTCCGACCACGAATGTCCCCATATCAGACCCGAATGTCCCTAATCAGCTCATGGCGAAACTTCTTCCCTCAAATGAAGCTCAGGAAGTAGCGCTTTTACTTGTTAGCTATTGCGACCGCTGCGGCAGGTTCCACAGCGCCTGTTGTATTAAGTCATCGTGGATTGACAGTAGTAGTGTGTCAGGGCACTGGCCAGGATAACAGCGCTCTTTGTGTTCATGTTTTCAGTTTCCCTATCTCGAGAAAAATCTACAGGTTGGTTCACATTTGTTGGGTAGCGAGAACCCCTGAGAAGCCACTAAAACGCTCGGGAAATTAGATTTTAAAGTCCGGTACTCTTGGTGCTCTCCGCGCTGTATAAACTTAGCGCGGGTCTCAAGTCCACATTCACGGTGCTGCAGAAGGATGGCATGTTCATTGAGAGATCCTTTAGGGAGTCGCTGCATTTTTCATCTTCACAACGCAATCAATGAATCCTGCGCTCAAGCACGAGCTATCTCATTGTCTTCAGTAATGACGAATTCAGCAAGACGTCCACGGAATATATTGGCCTTGGTGAGCCAGTGGCTCTGGAGAAGTATCAGAATTGCGGCGACATCACTGATGACTCCTATCTCTTCCAAATTGCGGCGACATCACTGATGACTCCTATCTCTTCCAAATAATTTGCAATAATTCGTGTCGCGTTGTTTCACTTTCCACTGTAATATGAAACATTGCATCTCACAAATTGGCTGTTATATATGTATTATAAATTGTACGAGTTTATAAAACAGACAACTTATGATGGCCATCTCCGCCATCCTGAGAACAATGTACGGTCGTTAGGGTTTGTATTTATATTAAAGTAGTAGTGTAAAGTATTGTAGGGGGGATTTATACTTTAAAGCACTGACTGTTAGCGTGTCTTAGTTCGCGAGAAGTTTTTATTTTTTGCCGCTCCTTTTTTTTTTAGTGGCGAGCTAGGGAGTTGCAACGGAAAGGGCGCGTGGAGATGCATACATTCGCCACTATAAGGGAAGGCTGTGTGACTCAATAGTTTTTACTACTTTTCTCTTTAATCGTCAAAGGTTCAAGCGCGAGCTCCCTGCATTTGTCCATGCCACGGGCACTCGTGCAGCGAGATTATTATAGTCGTCAAAACTAGCCCCTCGTGCTTGCAGCCATGCCTTGTGGTTGTTGAGGGTGGGGTTAACGAAACTTCGTTTTTGTGTTTGGCTAGTTCGCAATTAATGTAGTCTCCCACAATATGAAGGACACATTCGTTTAGGCAGTATATGCGCGGTGCTAAGCACACTTTGTTCAGTGCCACATTTTTTTTTTCCAGAAGTAATAGAAAAAAATAAAAAAAAAAGGTTTATTTTTCTACTCGAGTCACTGCGGGCCTGGTCAAAGCGAATTCAGTACAGCAGGTCCGAAACTGCCTCGTCGAATGGGTCTTTCATATTGTTTGCGATTGCACCTCACTTTTCTTTCCTTCATTTTGGTTTTTACCGCCAGTTGAACAGTCATCTCTAGCGGTTACATCAGGATCAGTTCGCTTCTATCGTCCTTTCAGTTTTTTTTTAATCTTTCCATGAAAACAACGAAAGTGAGAACGTACTTCTATTAAGGCGTTTTCAGAACGGCTCGCAGGTTAGGTTCCTTCGTAGTCGCGTAAGTTTTGTACCTAGCACTCTGCCGTGAAGTACCCAAAGCTTCCTCTATTTCCCCTATAAGCACGCCAAAGTCGCGGCACTACCCAAACGTCCTCAAATTTAGGTTAATATCCCTAGGAGATATCAGTACAGTTCATTCTCGTATGGAGCGCTACGGGCAGTTCATCGTTCAGGGATAAACCACTTCTCTAATATTTTGCTGCCCTCAAGACGGAACGCTTTAGACTATTTTCTAACGCGCTGAAAGTGTTATAATAAAATAAACGCGGTTATCTCAACTTTTTTTGTAATATCTCTGTGCGCTGTTAATTTGTGTAAACATTTTATTGTGTATTTGAACGAAGTTAACATATTCTGGTTTATTCATTAGCGCCCCTTCAGTCTGACGCTGTTTTCTCTTAAACTCCTAGCACTGTACTTCATTCTCTTTTCGGACCGGTACTAGATTACAAATGGGTTTTAAGAATTTGATTATTTATTGTTTTCGAATCTTTCAGAAAATATTATGAAAGATATTGATTCTGGTTGTTGTAAACAACTATCGGCTTTATAATTCTACTGGACAAGGCCAATACTAAACATTTCTGAAGTGAATGTGGATGTCGCCATCTTGGTACTCTCCTTACTTTAATGCGAAATAACTGTTCTGTTCGAAGCTTTGCGAAATAAAATGGCATAAAAGTATACTCCTTTATTTTAATCCAACTTTACATTTCTTGTCACTGCTGATCAAATGTTAATTGGTTTTGTTTTTCCGGTACATTGTCGCCGCAGCGGCCGTCTGGGAAGCACTCAGTCAGCGCATTCGACTATGTTGGTATATCTAGTTCATTACTAGAAGCGGAAACTGAATTCGTTCTTGAAGTAGTCGAGAGCGCAGTTTCGTTTCGGGACGGGAGTCCACTTTCGGGCGCGCCGGTTGCAACTACCTCCGACACTTTCGTGCTGCTTCGCCTGTCCCAGCGAATCGTCGTACTTGGATATTTGATAAAACATAGAGGACGAAAGTATGTCTGTCGGACTGGAGCTCGGCCTACGACTTTCGGTGGAACAACGTTTTATCGAATGGTGGTGTTAATTTCTGAAAATTTAGTCGGTGCTCAGGCGAGCTGGTGGAAATTTACCATGATGAATTTAATCCGAGACTGGGGCAGAAAGAGAAACAAAATTTGACAGCGTTAGAAAAAGAAACCGGCACAGACAACACCTTTACTGAGCTAATGGTTTTATTTAATCACCCTCCAATTATGTACACAGATCCACAACGCCACCAAACTGCAGGACATTTTGTTTTCAAAACCAGCCTTAGATTGGACAAAAACTTCTGGATTGCTTTGATTCTACCTCAAGGGGTCACAATTAAAAACATAAATAATTAAAAAGAATGGGCAGAAATCGCTGCTGCCGCCACGCTGATTCTCGAAGAAATGCGTTCGCACTTCGCGCAGCGGTTATATAACAGAGCATGGTGAACGCAGCCTCTCAGCACTTTTCGTGCGGGGTGAACATTCCCAAAACCCTCCTCCCTGGAGCAAGCGGATCTGAGGTGTGTGTGTGTGTAGGCATTGTGAGAGTTGATGAGGGGGGAGGAGAGGGCCAATCGGTGTCCCACTTTGCGTGTGCATGGAGGACGGGGGTCGCACAGGATTGGCTGGTTATAGAGAGCGACGGCGTGACGTAACACCTAGCAACCGAGGTGCAGGAGGGTCAACGGGGCTAGGGCGTACTCGGGCCGCCGGCGGGGCGCCGCGAGGCGGCGTGTACGGGTGGCCCTAGGTGGGTTAGTATTGTGTAGCGAGCCATCCGCAGCAGAACAGTGGGCCGTTTGGGTTAACACGAGCCCCAGAGAAACTCCCGCCATCCCCCACTGCGCGGCGCCGAACCAGCCAATCCAATGCCTGTAACCAGCCAATCCAATGCGGCCTCCGTTGTTATGCGTCCAACTTGCCAAGCATCTCGAAATATGCACACCGCCGCGATCTGTCGGGGCTCGCAGAATGTGATTCCTAGCCAGTTTCCATGGGCAGGCTACTGTGGCGCCTGTCCAGACCAACTTGCGCTCCGCACAGCTTTGAAATAATACTGATCATTTTCTTTTTTATTTCAACTGATATTTAAACAGCTCATGGTCCGAGGAACGAGGTCTACCAATATGCAACAAAATGCCCCCCCCCCCCCCCACCCCAAACCAAAAAAAAAAAAAAAAAAACTATGGCGGGAATTTTTTTTTATTTTATTATCCAGTGTTAGCGTTTTGTGTATATTGGTGTAGTGATAACAAAAGTAGCAATAATAATAATAATAGTATGTGTATGCATGTACAAAAAATCTATTAAAAGTTTAAATAACTGCACGAACCTTTTAACAACTACAACATAAATGTTTCAGCTCGCTAAAGCCGTGCAGCATAGAGCACTGCACGGACCGGAATTTCTAGGCCCAGCCCGACCCTGCCCGGTAAAGAGACGGTCCGGGCCCGACAGAGGATTTAGACAAGTCCGAGCAATCCCCGAGCCCGACCAAATGTTTTTCAAATATGAGCCTGAGCCCGGCCCAAGCCCGACAAAACGTTTGCAGGCTTTAACCTAAAAACTGTCTAATGGCGAATTCGGGTGGTCAGTCGCCGGCGAGACCGAGCCGGCGGAACTGGCAACCAGAAACGCGCCGGCGGCACACCACGTGACCCTCACCACCCGATTACGAAACTCCAGACGGTGGCAGCTTACTTCGCCTCTTGCCCGCGCGACACCGCTAGCGAGAGCCTGTCACCGCCGTCACTTATGTCCCAACGACTTGGATTGACTTTCGTAGCGGCTGCTAAAGTTACTTCAGATCAGTTTCGTTCTTTCGTTCATTTTTTTCTCACTGACCTTCTCTCTCATTTCGGAAGTGACGACACCGGATACAGCCTGGCGCCTACTCGCCCGGCCGTTCGGAGCTCGGGCGGAAAAAGCGCCGCAAAGTTGCCGGTGCTTACCGGAGAACCACCACCCGAACTGTGCGCGCAGGCCGGAAACTGACCACGCGAACGCTATTGCCGGTTTTCCGGCAAAATAAGTTGCCGACGATTGACCACCCGAATTCGCCATAAGCATAAAGCGCGCACTCTCCCACTATGCTGGTGGAGTCCGTAGGTTTTTTTTTTTTTTTTTTTTTTTTTTTTTTTTTTTTATCCACTTGAAAGCTTTACAAATGCAAAACGCTTTTTTTTTTTTTTTTTGGACGGCGCCGTAGTGATTTTACACTCCGCTTGTTTGTTTTCATTGAACCCAAAAGATCAATAAGCGCACACCCTTTGCTATCAACAATCGGGAATATGCGGCACACGACTGCCCAGGCACCGCCCGAAACATTCTTTGTTC